AAGAATGGAGATCACCATTGCCTGCTTAGCTAAAGAAAGTTAGAGCATGCCCCTGGGACCTGGGTTGATGAAAAGAGTGGGCCCTCACCCGATTGGATTTACGGTGTCATGATCAAGGGCATTGAGAACCAGACTGATGTGGGTGACCTCGGGCAAGTTAGGGAGCTCACTAAGTTTCCATTTCCTCCTGCACAACATGGAGAGGCTAATACCTCCCTCAGAGGTTAAGGAGTGTGAGCAAGAAAGGTATGCTTCTTGCCTGGTACACAAAGAAAATACTTCATAATTACCATTGATTCAGAAAGGACGGGGAAGTTATTGCAGACTTCTGTCTGTAGAAACACCAGGTGATGGGATTAATGTGGCCTTCTTCTTCTACGCATTACAGTATACATTTTTATGTGAAGTCAGTCGGGTGGAAAGGGGTGGAAACTGCATGAGAGGCATGATTTGGAATCTCTCTTACAGTCTCACGAACTTCAGGGCCTACTGCCATAAAACTTGTAAGACCGGGCATATTGCTGGTGAATCAATGAGGACAAGCTTGGGCTTTCTGGAAGGGCTGTTCCGTGACTGGATCAGACCAGCTTGGCCATGGTACATGCAACCAATCACCTTTCCAGTGCTTTCGCAGACTACATAATGTCGTAGGCAGGAAAGGATTTAAAGTGAGACATTTAAAAAGCGCATGCCGAGGCTTAAGCCCAATGCTCACTATGCAAGTTGTGCAAGTTAAAGTGATTGTCAGCACTCCACCACCCCAGTCAAACCTTCAGGTTTGAAGTTGCAGTGATTTTTGTATCTAAAACGTACATTGTATTGTATCAGTCCAATTGACATTAAAGTTATGTGTAGGTTACTTGAAGCACCAAATAACAAGGTGGTCGATCCCCAATGGCTGGGTTTCTGGTTTCTAATTTAGAGTGCAGCCTACGTGGTAATGAGAATGCAGGCTGACTGCCCAAAGAGGCAGAGCCAGACCCCGGGCTCTCAGGTCCCAGGCTGCTCAGGCCTTCACCCCCATCCATCTATTGGCCCAGCATTCCTCTGGAGGCCCTGACTCCCTGCATGCTGAATTTCTCACTCTGGGCCTCTGCCCTATCTGTTCCAACTTAATATGGTTAACCTCAGAATGTATGTCACTTTAGAGATGGAATAAAGAGTGATCCATGGAAGATCTCTAAGGAAAAGCCACAGATGGAGGCGTTTGGGGGAGAATTGAACAAGAGAGTTTTACTTTGTCTGAAAAGTGCTTCCATCTCAGGCCATTCTAGAAACAAACGGATTTTCCCTTTGCTGTGGATCGCCTGTTCAAGTCACAGAGCCAATGTTTCTGTGAATTGAAAACATCTTTCTGACACTTTGACATTCTACCAAGGGTATTATTCACCATTTCTCCTATGTTCTATTTGGCACATATCCTGGGCTTTCCTGTCTGGACCATGTTGGAAGTCAGTTCTCAGGGAATAATCAGAGGTCTTCAGGGCTTAAAACAATAAAAAATTTATTTTTCTAACATCTGAACTTAAAGCTGGATCACCGAGTACATATCCATAACAGAGTAGACACTAGAAATTAAATTCTCTCTCTTTGTCTCTAAAAGTGGAAACATTTTGTTGGGGAAGCACACCTTCTCACTTATGACTTGTTCAGGGTCATAAACTTTCCCTGTTAGAAGTCCTGCCCCCATCACTTTACTCATTAATCAAAAATATCCGAACATCTAGCATGCTTGCTGCAGGAGAAACAGTGATGAATGTCTTTGTCTCTGTCCTGAAGTCACTTAGAACCAAGTCTTAGATAAAAGTCAAGGAAAGCAAGCCAAATATATGCCTAAATAATTTTTTTAGAGGTTTCTGCCTTAGGGCATGTGTGCGTACCAGAGAGATAAAGAGACAGAGATACAGTGAGAAGTCACCCCCCAGGGGGATGGCCACACTGCAGTCTCTTCTTCCATTCTCCTCTTGAGATTTTGGCATACATGCACACCCGCCTGACAGGATTACAAAGCCACTGGGTCCGGGACTCAACCCATGGTCAGCCAGGTGGGAGTCCAGCAACGTAACCGCTACACCATGTGCTGGCCCCTATGCCTAAGTATTTAGTAAGATGGAGACTGGTCAGTTGCCTAGGTGAGGCCCGCCAAAGTTCTGTGGATTTCTCAAAGCTGAGCCGAAGTTCACATGTGGCTGGAGAAAGATATAAAGGGTTCTAGGAGGGGCCATGGATGTGGCCCTTGAGGACGGGAGGGTATTAACCATCAGAGGGGTTGGTGGGGAAGGGTGCTCCGGGGAGGGATAACAACAGATGGAAGAAGCAGAAAAGAAAGGCTAGGTCTAGAGAACAGCAGGCAATTTAGTTCGGGCAGTGGTGTCTCTGTAAGGAGCAGCGGAAGCTAAGACTGGAACAGAAATGGAGGCCTGAGCATCGCGGCTTTAGCTGCGTTGTATATCCCTCCTGTACTCGGGAGGCATCAACATTACATGACTTCTGTGCACGGCATGGCGTCTTCGGAGCTGCACTTTCAGAATATCAGTTACATGTTATGTCTGACATTGGGTTTTCTCAGAATAGAACCTGCAAAGGGGATTCTTGCACAAATATCCCATTGAGGGGTGCTCTTAGGAGAAATCTGTAAGGGACTGAGGGAGCGGGGAAGATGCTAGGCAAAGATGTGCTTCAGGAGAATCCAGCTTGCACCTGATCGGGCAGGGGCCCCCAGCGTGTTAACCACACCACAGAGTTTGTCCTGCCGACAGACAAGCAGCTAGGCTGTTAGTGAGGCACAGTCACGGGCCCCATGGGGCCCATGCTGCCTAAGACTGGGGGTGAATCACAGCATGAAGACCCTGCTGGGGGTGTTTATCGCTCTGTCTCTCTCTGTCACAGAATAAATACATACACTTTCAAACATTTTACATATATGTGTGTGAGTGTGTATGCATATATGTGTGTATATATGTATGTGTGTATATGTGTACATATGTATGCATATGTGTGTTGTGTGTGTATTTGATGAATACATTGGTGGTAGAAACAGTGATAGGGTGTTGTACCTGATTGGTTTGAGGACAAGGAAAGTAGAGATGACTGAAACTTTGAAGTCAGGTAACTGAAGAGGAATGGTGACATTAACAGAAAACGGGGCCTGGGATGGAAAGGGAAGATGCTGAAATCTTAGGGAATGGGTTTGCTTGGCGGTGGAGCTTCTGTGAGCCAGGGTACAGAGGTGGAGAAATTAGCGTCCCTGGGCAGGTACTGAGCCGTTCTTTCAAGTATGGCTCCTGTTAAATCCAGAAACTGCTGGGAACCGTCAACGTCCTGCCTGCCTCCTTTCTCCCTCATTCTCATCTCCATCTCCCCCAGTCCCCCTCTTCTCATAGGACTTCTCATTTTCCTTTTTTCCTGTCTATTTTTTTTCTCCTTATCTCCTTCCCAGGAGCTCAGCTCAAACTGTCCATCCTTGTCGATTGTTTTTCTCTGGCTCCCAGCTCCATCAGTTACAACATCTTATCCCCGTTGTTTCTTGGCCAAATTATTCACTGAAAAAATAGGTATTGAGTGGCCACTTTTTTTTTAAAGGTTTTTACCATAGGGGCACATGCCTTTGCTGGAGAGAGAGAGGGAAAATGAGAAATCACCTCTAGGTAGAAGGATGGCCACACCGCAATCCCTTCTCCATCTCCCTCTCGGGATTTGGGGCTTGCATGTGCATGTGCTTGGTGTGTTTCAAGCTACAGAGTCCAGAGTTTGAACCATGGCTGGTCATGTGAGAGTCCAGCGCCTTAACCACCATGCACAGTGCCACTTTGTGTCAGATGTTGGAATACAGAAGCGAATACCACAGAACACCAGCGCCTGCCTCTGTCCTGCTTCCTCACGCCCCCATCATCACCTTCATCACCACATCATCATCATCATCACCCTTATCATCATGCTTTCAGTCCTCGTCCTCAGGGCCGGAGGTAGCCCCACTCCAGCTCCAATCTCTGGGCTGCCCAGTTTGACTGATAACACACAGCATTATGAAGATGCTGATCATTCAAAAGAAAAATAGGATAGGATAGCTGAGAGAAAGAATGGCAAGGACCTTGGCACTTGCCCCAGGCTTACTGTGGAGTTTCTCTTAGATCAAACATCGTTTTTCATTGATTCATTTTGTCTTTACATTTAAAATTGGCTAGCATGGTCTGGGAGGCTTTATACTTCCCTGATACCACTGGGGGCATGGCAGTGCTGAGCAAAGCCCCAATAACTTGCCCACGTGGGTGGGCGGTGCCAAGGGGAGGTGATCGCAGCAAAATGCTTTCCAGTTTCTGAAAGGTTAAAACTGTCCAGAGAGGGAACCAGCAGTTGGCGTAATGGCTATGTCACTGGACTCCCATGTAGTCGACCACGGTTCGCGTCCTGGACCTGGTGGCTTAAACTCATGTCAGGCATTGGTGCGGGCCTGCC